GAAGAGCACCCAATAATTGTTTCCAAAATGATTATACTTTGTGCAATAAACAGTTATATTCTAATAGTGAGGAGGCAGTACAAGTGCCATTATATATTAAATTCCTTTCAATATATCGATCATACATGTGAACAATATTTTCCTTCTGAGTAGTTATGTGTTTACTGGGAACCCCCCCCCCCACTTTCAGAAACATAGATGGACCAAAGAAATAGCTTCTGGAGTTCTTTTTTCCCGATCATTTCAATTTGAAACCGTACGTTCCTTCAACTTAGCAACAACCTGTAGCAAATTCTCATTGTTAAAATAAATACTTATCAACAACACTTTCATTTGTGAAGAGTTTTTAATAGTACTAATAAAACTTTAAAGGTTCTGATTATGTTTTAAAATGGGGGCTGGTGCTTGTCTGGAATGGGTAAGGAGGCTAATGATATGCCCCCATTTGACCCAAAATACTTATTGAAGAGACAGGCTCAATAAATGGACACGTGGTTCAATAGAGTTAGTATCTAGGGCAAAACAAACTAGAAATACAGCACAAAATATGAAGGTTTAAACAAGACAGAGTCAACCCAGCCTTGGAAATAGAGGCAGAAAAAGTTAAAAAATGCATTCTGCATTAACGAGTCTAAGGAAACAGTAGCTTACTGATCAGAAGAAGATTCCCAAGACTGGTTTAAAACTGCTATTATGATGCCCTGATTTATGAGAGCAATCATTAGAGTAAATTTAAATTTGGACAGAAGAAAGCAGTTGGCCCCTCATCAGTAAGTGTGAAAAAGGAAGAAGGTTAATGACTCTAAAAACAGTCATCAGATGAGACCCACCATCCCTTTATCTGGGTAACTTTAATATGTGTCAGGTGGGGAGATTTCTGGGCACTTTCCTAGTGAATTAGGAGCACTTTTTTGTGGTTTCCTGTGACTGGGAGAAGGCATTCTTTTTTAAAATCTTCGACTGGGGTCTCCTTTTAATAGTAGCCTCACTCTCCAAGCACAGTGGGATGTGGTACACAACGAATTCTCGGAATGTTATTATGAGATTTTTTTTTCCTTCTTGCACTGAAAATTTTATTGTATTTTAAGGAAGACTTAAACTTTTTGCTCTCAGGACCCCTTCCCACTTTTAAAAATTATGGAGGACTCAAAAAGAGCTTTTGTTTGCATGGGTTATATTTATCAATATTTACCATATTAATTAAAATTGATGCATTTGTAGAATATTTATTTATTGAATCATATAAAAATATCAATATTAAATCCATTAGATATTAACATAAAACATTTTTCATGAAAAAACTATTTTTTAACAAATAAAAAATAATGAGAAGAGTGACATTGTTTTAAATTTTTGCAAATATCTTCAATATCTGGCAAA